GATCCAAATAATCACCAACACTGATATATTTAATTAGATCGCCGCCACTAAGACGTAAAAGCATGTACAATGTACTTCCTTCTTGAATACCATAGTCAGAAAGCTTTTTATTGCCCTCTAATTGCTTCCCAGTAAAAATTAATCTCTGCTCATGTGGTGGTATACCTTTTTTAGCGTATATTTTCAGTTTAATAGTATCGATTGTATCATTTTTTTCACATAAGATTAGTCTAGTTTTGTTGCAGATTTTAACGAAAATTTGTTGCAATTTATGAGAATCAGAGTGCTGATAATTACTGACAGCATCCAAATAATTTCCAACAAGATTGATTTGATGAAACGATTTTATGTCAACTTCTTCATATCGTGCTTCATAGTTTGTTTCATGACGGGCTTCTATGTCTCGAAATTCTTTCACAGATATAAACTTGTATGGATCCATTAAAGCCGTAAAGGCTGCGTTTATAAGGTCAATATTATTTTTGTTTGTCATGGTTAATGAATTTACCGATAATTTGAAATGTCGAAAATTAACAAGTTTCGGCTCGACAATCAGTAAATGGCCTATTAAATAGACAAGCGTCTAAGCTAGAGATTCGACTCGTCAAAAAGTAACTTAAATTAAAGTCATGATTTGAATCTTAATTCATGAGATTCTCGAATCAAAACAATTTACACATTGTTAAAATTAAGTATGCAAAATAAGCTATGCCCGCTTTTTTTAAATGGTAATATGAAATATATAAATATATGATTACCTTATTGGAAAATCAGATTTCGTGATATCAAATTTATTATTATCAGACTCAGCCCTGAAAAATTAAATCACTAAAAATTGGCGTTATTTTATCTACTCGCTTGTATGATCTAAATTATACTTTAAAAGTAATTATAACAGGCTTTTGTGAAAGCTTAGTTTTTAGACGTAAAATTTGTTAATTCCTCCTAACTTTGTATTTATACAGTATGTATATTTAAGATAAAACAAGTTATATTTCAAAAAAAAATCTAAATTAGTCTTAAGTAGAAGAATTGTAAAATTATGATTTTTAAAAATCTGAAATGAAATGATATGTTAATAACATTTATATCGTCGATCAGATTTTTCACGAGCAAATTCTGATAAATAATAAATGATAAACTTGAAATCTGAATTTTGATTTCTCATTGCAATATAAAATTACATTTTAGTTACTTTTTTATTTTACAAACGTAAATGGGCTCCAGTAATATCTGTGTCAATACCTGCTAAATACAGAAATAGTATTCATTATATGAGTGTGTGAGAATGAAATCAATCATAAATTTTATTCCTGATTTTCACTCTCACGCACTCATATCATATGAGTGCTGTCAAGGGAAAATTACAGTTAATTATTTATTATTAGCAAGATTTAGCCCTGATCCGAGATATACCGATATATATGATACGTAATTAAATAAGTACTACGATTTTCTTTCGCGGAGCTCATTTTAATTACGTATATCTCGGGTCACTGATCAGGGCTGAACCTTGCTAATAATAAATAATTACTATAATTAACGAGGTCTGGTTTTCCCTTGGCGGTACCATATAAGCTGAGAACCTTTATATAATTAATCTCTATCTCAATTTATTCAGCTGACCGGCATTATAGCTAACGTTGTTGGTATTATACCCTTTTGAGAAAATGGCTTTCAGAAATTTGATTTATATTGCTTGTTCTGCTGTCTTCGTTGCATTTCTGTAATTTAATTCTTAATTAGTTGATATTCTTACTTCATGTGGCACTTATATTTAACGTAAATAAATGTTATGTTCACCAATTAATTAATGAGAATAATAGTAAATATTTATGAAGTTAAATAGCTTATTTTAATTACTTGGATTAATAAATAGACTATACTATCTTGATAAATAAAATCCAACAGTAAATACAGTCGGCACTGTCTAATTGCATACTATCCGTCAGAGACTTTTATGCATATAGACAATATATGCATTTAAGTTGTACAGTAAGAACCATTTTTGCATTAATAATTAAAAGTCAAAATTTTTTATGCATTTAGAGAGTATATGCATTTAGACAGTATCAACTGTAATCATAAAATTTAATGTGAATAATTGTGGAGTCGATGCTAAATTTTGGGGTCTCTATTTAGATCTATAAAACCTAGTAAAACACACCTATACACTTTGATTAATAAACCTAACCCTAAACTCTATTCTGATATTATACCAGGCTTTCAAAAGTTCCAAAAGCTGGATCTTTTTTTTAAGTGGTCTTATGCATATAGATCATGATGATTATATATGCAAATTTATATTTGCATAAATGGTCCCTATGTATAAGGTCACTTAAAAAAACTGCGAATGAGTTTTGGAACTTTTGGTATCAGTCCTATAATAATTTTTGCTTTTAACAAAAAGGTTCGAGTCAGTCACACCGTAGTCTTTATTATTTTCTGAAATTCTCCAACAAATTTAAGGCCCATATACAAATTCACATTTTTGTCCAATATTTACGTTTCAGACATAATACAGTTGATACTGTCTAATTGCATACTGTCTAAATGCATATACTCTCTAAATGCATAAAAATTTTTGACTTTTAATTATTAATGCAAAAATGGTTCTTACAACTTAAATGCATATATTGTTTATATGCATAAAAAGTCTCTGACGGATATTATGCAATTAGATAGTGTCGACTGTAATTAGTTCAGGTCAGTGTTGGCATTTGGACTAATTTAAATAATATGGACAAAATATGTAAATAGTCATTTTTCAATTGGACATATGCATTTGGACTATGTCAAATTTTTTCAAAAATATGGACATAGTCCAAATGCCAACTCTGGTTCAGTTCTTTATAGCGAGTTAAAGTTGATGATTAATGGAGCCGCTGATGATTACTCTCAAAAGATAATTCATTCGAATAACTGTTGGAAAATTTTGGATATGAAATTGCAAAAATTTATTTCCAATATCTGACAGAATTTAAATAAAAAATTCAATAGTTAGGAAGTATTTGGATTTTTTCATCCCGAAAGCACTGTTGACCAATCAAATAACACGATTTTGTGTACCATAAAAAGTGTGGAAAATTTTATTCAATTCATCATAATTTCTAAAGTTCACGACAGGACTTTTTTAAAAATTTTGGGCCCAAGATTTTCTAGGTTTCTAACCCTTTTATCTTTATTAGTCATCTCGCATTAACCTGAAAAAAGTTGGCCAAAATTTTCCATGTCCTTGATTGGTGCTAAAACTGGTCCCAGCTTTCTAAGTACTACAGTTACACAGTAAAGACTATTATGATATAATTCTATATAAGAGAGATTGTAATTATAAGACAAATATGAAATCTATTTTAAAGGGGAAATGATGATGAAAATATCGTGCGTCAAATTAAAATTTGCATCAGATCTAAATTTAAACGCAGAGTTTTATTAGGGCTATAATGAGAGCTATGTTGAATATTAGCTGAATTATAATTATCTTAATTTTGATACAGACTTTAATTTGTCGCAAAATGGCAGAAAAATTAAAATAAGAGACACAGAAGATTACAAAGGACGTTGATATATCACTCTGTGATGGAGTGTCTTATTTTGCTAAAAAAACTTCTATTCAAAAATAAAAATGTAAATAAAAAAAATAAATAAAAAGAAATAAAATAAAATAATAAAAAAATAAATTCTCGTTATCTGGCATGATGTGACAGATACATGGGTATTCGGCAGGATGATAGCAAAAGCACGTGGCCGAAGGCCACGTGC